CCCCCCCCCCCCCTCCCCCGCGTCCGCGCATGAGCACAGCGTAACTGCTGGCGCATAGACACAAGTCTGCAGTAGCGATGCACGCGCATGACGGCAGTGTGTCTCTTTGCCGTGTCTTCTCTCTCTCTCTCTCCCTCCCTCCCTCCCTGCCTCTCCTCTTTTTTGTGCCCAGGGCGGCAAGACGAGGCATATCCAGAGGGGGGGGGGGACCCCTCACCAGGAAAATAAACACTCCCATTTACAGACGCGCGCCCTGCGTTTTGATGTCCACCAGCGGTTGGCCCTTTCTTTTTTTTTTTTTTCTCTCCCCCCGCCGGTTGGCGGCACGCCCGGCCGATCGGCCGCCAGTCCGTTGGTAGCTCCAGCCGTGTGGCCCGCGCGCCCTGCACGATCTTGCCGGCCCACCTCCCCGGGAAGACGCCCGCGCGCCGGCCGCCGCCGCCGCCGCCGCCGCCGCCGCCGCCACCGCCGCTGCCGCCGCCGCCGCGCCACCAACAACAACAGGGGGGAAGGGCAAGAGGGTAGAACCGGCCCCGCGCCGGGCGGAGCCCCGGGCGACCGGCACACATCCCCACCCCTCCATCTGGCCCCCCTCCCCCCCTCTCTCCCTTGTTGCCTCGCTCTCGCGCCTTCCCCCAGCCCCTCTCCGCCCGATGGCCGATCCGAACACGGTTTTCGGTCTGGAACTCAGCCATGTGGTTGAGCTGGGCCCCGCGGCCACGGCTGCCCTTCAGAGCGGGTCCGACTCAGCTTGCTTCTTCGTGGCCCTGTTCTCTTCGTTGTCTGCGCCCGCCCGCCCGCCCTCCCTCGCCACCTCCGTTCCCTGCGGCCAGCTGACCATGTCCCGGCACCAGTTTCGATTTCCTGGCGGCTCCCATTTCGCACCCCTCGCACCGGCGCACCTTCACCGGGGTGAATGTTGACGCACCGGCTTGCTTCGCGCAGTCCGACCGGGCGGTCGGGTCCGATGGTGCGTGGAGCTGCGCGCGTCTGACCCCGGCTCTGACCTTGGCACTCACGCGCTTCGGCCTGTTGCTGCCCCCGCTCCCTGCGCGCGCTCCTTCCCGGTTTTGCAGTCCGGTCCACGCGCCTGGTGGGCATCCTCTCCGACGACCTGGATCTCCTCGACGAGGAGGCCGATCACGATGGTGTCGTCAACTCGGAGCGCCTGCTGGCTCAGGAGTTTGCCTGGGCCGCGCACATTGGCCTCCCGGCGGTCATTGTCCCGTGCCCTTTCAATCGCCAGGCAGTGGCCGGGTTTGCGGCGTGCATTGCCCGAGCGCTCGAGGGCCCGGGCGCCTTCCAGGTGCGCGGCTGTCCCGCTTGGCTGGCAGGCCCTGGTCTTGTTAGTGGGTGACGGCCCGGAGGAGGGCAGGGGGGGGGGGGGGGGGGGGGACCGTCCACCCACATGTTCACAAGCACTGACGCGCCGCCATGCGCAGATCTGGGTCCGGATGCCGATGGCCCCGGCGGCCGGGCCCGAGCCCCAGATGCGCGGCCTCGACAGCGACGATGGCGAGGGCGCCAGCACCGGCAGCGGCACTGGCCATGGCGAGGGCGATGTCGACGACCCGTGGGACTGGTGGCACCAGCTGCGCACTCTCTGTGACTTCCATCCGCGGTTGAACTTGGCGCTGGAGGTGCCGGCCGATCTGCCCGGCGAGGTGAGCCTCCTCCGGTGGCTGGCCGAGCCGGTCAAGGCCTTTCACCTGGACGCGGATCTGTTCATGGCGAATCAGCGGGGCTTCCCGGTGCTGAGTCGCCTGCACCAGGGCTTCCTGAAGGATGTGATGGTGGTGCGCTGCCGGGGTTGCTGGTGGGATCTTTTTTTCTTGTCCTGGTGTCGGCTGACGGTTCCCTTGGCCGGTGTGTGTGTGTGTGTGTGTGTGTGTGTGTGTGTGTGTGTGTGTGTGTGTGTGTGTGTGTGTGCGGCCGGGACGGGTGTTCGGCCGCAGCGAACGAACTATCACTTTCTGGTGGGTGGCCGGTTGGACGCACGGCCGGACTCCGAGGACACCATGCGCTCGGTCCCCGGGAGCCTGGAAGCCGTGAGCCGGCATGCCCAGCTGTATGTGTCGTACTTGCGGCACCTGGCTCGGTCGATCCCGGACCAGCCGGCTGGCGATGCCCTTTTCGGGTCGTACAATGAGTTCCTCCAGGCTCCGTTGCAGGTGCGCGGTGTTGCATCGGCCCAACGGGGTGTTTCCTTTCCCCCTTCCGGGTTTTTTTTCTTTTGCCACGCGGTCGCACATGCCGGTCCTCACCTCCCGCTGGCCTGCCTTCCCTCTCTCTCTCTCTCTCTCCCTCCCTCTCTCTCTCTCTCTCTCTCTCCCTCTCTCCCCCCCCTGCCCGCGATAGCCGCTGAAGGAGCATCTGGACTCGCAGACGTACGAGGTGTTTGAAAATGACCCGGTCAAGTACCAGCTGTATGAGGAGGCCATTTACCAGGCCTTGCTGGCCTTCACGCGGTACATGCATCAGGATGGCCGGCGCATCGGCGAGGGGGAGTGCGTGTGCGGGGCGGATGCCGCCATGGCCGCGGCGACAGCCACGGCGGTCTGCCAGTCTGGCGACCCGGGGGCCTGCACTTGTCGCGGTCCGGCCGGGCATCCGAGCCCGCGGGCCATTCAATACTCGGGGCTGGCTCCCGGCCGGGCGAAAGCCCTGCGCGACCGAGTGCGCAATGGCCAGACCCACACCGAGTGGGGGTGTCTTGGCGAGGGGGCCTGCCGGTGCTTGGAGGACTGGGCTGCCGAGGGGCCGGAGGCCGAGGCCGAGGCGCTCGAGACCGGGCTCGGTTCCTTTGCCGGGGGCCCGATCGTTGTGGCGGTGGTCGGCGCGGGCCGCGGGCCGCTGGTCAACTGCACGCTGCAGGCGGCCGCGCGGTCCGGCCGCGCGGTGAGTGTCCTGGCGCTGGACAAGAACCCCAACGCCGTGTTGACGTGCGTCGGGGGATCTCCCTTCCCCGTTCTCCCTGCCCCCTTCCTTCGCAAACTCGGTTTCCCTTCTCCGCCTCGGTGACACTCACTCTGTGGCACGCACGCACGCACGCACGCACGCACGCACGCAGCCTTCATGACCGCGCGCGGAACGAATGGGGCTCTGCGGTGACGGTCTTTGGGGGGGACATGCGCGACTGGCGGCCGCCGGCGCCGGTGGACGTGTTGGTCAGCGAGCTGCTGGGGTCCTTCGGCGATAATGAGCTGTCGCCGGAGTGCCTGGACGCGGCGCAGGCGGTCCTCCGGCCGGATGGCCGGGGGATCAGCGTGCCGGCTTGCTACACATCGCACCTGGCTCCGGTGACCTCCCCCCGGTTGCATGAGCAGATCCGCGGCTTTGCGGCCAAGGAGAAGCCCCTGGACCCCAAGTGGCTGGAGACGCATTATGTGGTGCGGCTGCGCAATACCATGCTGCTGGCCCGGCCGCGGGCGGTCTTTCACTTCCGCCACCCGTCGCCCTTCCTGCCCGGGGGCCATGCGGCCGAGGGGGCCTCGGGTGGGGACCCGGGCCGGGGCCCGGGGCCGGACCGGCTCCGGCGCCTGCACACCAACGACCGGCACACGGTGCTGCACTTCACCAGCACGTGTGCCGCATCGCTGACCGGCTTCGCCGGGTACTTTGACTGTACGCTCTTCGGCTCGGTGCACATGAGCACCCACCCGCGAACGCACTCCCCCGACATGGAGAGCTGGTTCCCCTGCTTCTTTCCGTTGCGCACGCCGGTGGACGTGCGCCCGGGGGACCGGATTTCCCTGCAGGTGTGGCGCCGGTCCAGTGCCACGGCCGTCTGGTATGAGTGGGCCCTCCTGGCCCCGGTGGTGGGGCAGATCCACAACTCCGGCGGCCGGAGCTGCAGCATGCTGCTGGCGAGCTCATAGCGCGTGGGCCTGTGTGTGTGTGTGTGTGGGGCCCGGGGAGCCGGGGCCCCCACGTTCGCCGCCCCCCCCCCCCCTCCTCTGTTTCGGTAGATGGGATCGCTCTGTGGCGAAGAATCTGCCGCATGGATCCCTTTTCGGGCATGCAAACATGTGTCTATATCTGTGTGTGTGTGTGTGTGTGTGTGTGTGTGTATTCCACGGCATTCCAGATGCATGGGCGAGTCTACTTGACGTTCTGGAAGTAGCCAATGGGTTTGCCAACGTCATTGAACAGCTGAATGTCACGGTGGGAGGTGGGCCTGGGGGGGGGGGCATGGATGAGGGTGAGTTGGGTCGTCGGGGGAGGGGGAAAGGGACAGGCAGGGGGAGGGCAGGAGGCGGGGCGAACGGGAAGGGGACGCACTCGCGGATGATGGCACCGGACTTGGCCGTCGGCAGACGAAGGATCTTGCGGAAGTGCCGGCGCCGGCGGACCATGGTGTTGAGGGACTCCTCGCCCCACGAGGCGCTGGCACTGAAGTCCGTGGCGTACTGTGTGCGTGTGTATGGGGGGGGGGGGGGGGACAACAGATGAGGGGGGCGGAAAGGGAGGGTCGGTGAGTTTGGAGAAAAGTGCGCCCCTCTCCCCCCTGCCAGCTTGTTCCAGGGCGAGGTGAGCTCCGTCAAAGGGGGGATGGCAGGCGCAGGTTCCTCTTCCAGCCATAGCAGCAGCAGCAGCAGCAGCAGCAACAACAGCAGCCCCCGGCAGAAGGGCCCCACCCCCGCGAGGAAGCCTACAAAGCACGTACCATCCACCCGTCGGCCTGGGACTCGAATGCGTCGTCCACCTGCCAGGGGGTGATCCAGTGCCACGCGCCGCCGGCGGAGCGGATCTGGCCGATGATGACCGGCTGGCCGAGGACATCGGTGAACTCGGCCGGATCGGTTTCCAGCAGGTGCGCCGCGGAGTAGCCATTGAGGGTGGAGTAGCGCTGGTGCTCGAACACCTCGACGCAGTCCAGCAGCCCGGAGCTGTAGAGCATGAAGTCCCGGTGATTCAGCTGGTTGATGCGACGGATCCGGCAGAAGATCAGGGTGTAGATGTCGTCGCGGTTTTCCAGATTGGCGAAGGAATAGCGCTGGCCATTTTGCAGGGTCACATCGAGGGCATGCAGGCGCGTGGGGATGACATTGACCCGGGCCACGGTGGCGATCTCGGCATAGGGGATGAGGATGCGCTTGGCGGCCGCCGGGAAGACGCTCCGGTGGAAGCCGATGCCGGCCGAAAAGAGGAACACCTGCGACACCATGGGCAGGGCCCGGGGCATGGACACCAACGAGGCCCGGGTGTAAAAGTGCACATCCCCCCGGGGGAGGTGGTCAAAGCGCTCGGCCACCTTGATCGGGTCCCCGAGCCCGGGGGCCGGGTTGTCCTCCATGAACCGCACCAGCCGGCGAATGGCCTGGTGCTCGTGCGTGCGCAGGCCGGCCGAGCTGTACTCGAAGTTGATGGGGGCCAGGCTGGCGCTCAGCGGGCCGTCCGACCGGAAGAGGCTCCCGGCGCCGCGGGCATCCGCCACGCCGGGATGCCGGCGCAGGCGCAGGCTCTGCAGCTCGGCCAGGGTGGGCCCGGCGCCGGAGGGGGCCCCCCCACCGGCGGCCGGGGCCAGCCGGGCCAGCTCCCGCATCGGCGTCGTGGCCGCCAGCATGTGGTCCCGCAGCGAGAGCAGCACCTGGTCCATGCGATCGGCCGACATGTGGCCCGTGGCGGGGTCCGGCTGGCCGTGGCCCGGGTCGGGGCCCATGCCGGAGGCCAGCCCATCGCTGGCCCGGGCCGTGGAAAGGGTATCCGTGTCGGCGAAGAGGTCCAGCGGGACCGGGGCCGGCAGGCCGGCCTTCTCGGCCTCCAGCCGGGCATGCGTGGCCAGGATGTTGCTGCGCAGGAGGGCCATGTTGTAGCGCGCGTGCAGGCGAATGTGCGCCAGGTAGACCGGCAACTTGGCGATGCTGAACATGCGCATGAGGGAATTCCGCACCGGGGTCCCGGCATCCGGCCCGGGGAGGACCTGCTGCACGAGCCGCCGCAGCTGCAGGTGGAAGGAATCCAGCCGGGCCTCCACGCAGTCGATCAGGGCCAGGCGCTGTTGGAAGTGGTGCAAAAAGTGCGGGAGATCCTCCACCGGGACTTGGCGAATGGCCGCCGGGTCCAGGGCCGCCTCGTCGATTTGCAACGATTGCCGGGTCAGGTGCGGTGAGAGGTCGGAAAAGTCCAGCACCTCGGCCAGCTCGCCGGAGGAGGCCGACCCGCCGGCGGCGGCATCACCCCCGCCCCCGGGCCCGGGGGGGAATGTCCCCCCGGGTCCGGGGGCAGACCCACCGCCGGGGCCCATGGCCGACCCGCCGGCGCCGGAGCCGGACTGCTGCGAGCGATTGATGATGGTCGAGATGGAGGGCGAGGAGGCCGGCACGGCCACCTGGGAAAAGGGAGCCAGCGGGGCCGGCTCCGGGTGCACACTCAGCACCGTGCTGATGGTGGGGAAGGGGTCGCTGCCGAGGGTGTCGGCGATGGCCTGCTTCTCGGCCTCGGTGATCGGGGTGGTCAGGGAGGTGGCCGAGATGGACTCCAGCTTGCCCAGCAGGCGGATGAAGGCCCCGGTCAGGCGCTCGAGGCGCCCGGCGCGCAGGTGCCCCGGCATCAACTGCAGCAGGGCCAGCTCCGGCATCGGGGCCGCATCCGGGGCCCGGAGGAGCAGCAACAGCCCCGGGAAGAGCCCATGCTCGGCGGTCAGGCGCTCGAAGCGGAAGATGGACACCCGCCGGGGGGTGCTGCAATAGTCGGCCGCCAGGCGCTGGCGAACGGCATCCAGGATGTTGGTCCGGGTGTCGGCCAGCAGCAGGCGGAAGAACCATTCGCGCGAGAGGGCCTCCACGAAGTCCACACAGTGGACCTCGAAGGTCCGGCAGCCGAAGTTCCGCTGCCAGAAGGCCGCGACGTCCGGCTGCGACAGGTAATGCAGGTAGGTCATGTGCTCGACGTGGGGGACCTCCGAGGCGGCCAGCGTGGCGGCCAGCCTGTCGGTGGATGGCAGTGCGCCCGGCTGCGGGCTGCCCGGCGTGGGGATGGGCGCCGGCTGCCGGCCGGCCGGCCGGGGGCCCGGCTGGGGGGACGAGTCGGCGCCCGCGCCCGCGTCCGCGTCCGCGTCCGCGTCCGAGTCCGAGTCGACCTCCTGCAGGAGGATGCTCCCGGCGTCGGAGTCGCTGTCGAGGTCGGCCCCGGGCCCGGCCGGCGCCGATCCATCGACGGCCCAGCCCGGGGACAGGCTCCCCAGGGGGTCGAGCTCCTTGTCATTGTGGTCGTCCTCCTCGTCGACCGGGGCCTCCAGGGCCTCGTCGCGAGCGGTCTGCTGCATGAACTGCTGGAGGAGCTCCTTCTGGCGCTCGAGCTCGCGGAGGGTGGTCTGCCGGCGCTCGCGCGACCACGACACAAAGGCCTGGATGGCCGGGGACTTGAGCCCGGGTGACATGAGGGCCAGCTCGTCTGGGGAGAAGTCCGGCGCGGTGTAGGGCCCGGCCGGGGAGGCCAGCCCGGGCAGCTGCTTGGTGGTGAGATCCGGCAGCCGGGCATCCAGCAGCCAGGCAAAGTGCTCAATCAGGACCAGGGCCTGGGTGGCCGCCTGGGCCAGGGTATGCCACCGGGCCAGGAGCAGGCCGACGCCGACATCATCGAAGATGCCCAGCTCGCTGATGTGGGCGCAGGCCGTATGCGAGAAGGTCTGAGCGTGGCTGGTCTGTGTGTGTGTGTGTGTGTGTGTGTGTGTGTGTGTTTGTGTTTGTGTTTGTGTTTGTGTTTGTGTTTGTGGTGGTGGTGGTGATCAGTGACGGAGAAGGGTGAGGGAGGGGTGGTGAGCAGGGGCGAGCAGCGGGCGGGCGGGCGGAGGCCGGGCTTTTCACGCCGCCGGCCGCGGCGCGGCTTGCCCGGGGCCCATCGGAGGATGGCAGGCGGGGCGGGCGCACCAGGAAGGACATCTCCTTGGCGTGCTTCTCCAGGCTGTGGAGCACATGCACCGGCAGGAAGAGCGGGCGCTTGGGGGCGGAAGTGGCCGGCTCGTCGGTGGCCCCGGCTGCCGGGGACAGCCGCCGGAAGACCGCCAACAGGTCGCCGCAGCGCCCGCTCAGGAACCCGGCCACCTGGGCGGCGTTGCGCAGGAAGTCATGGTACACCGGGTACCGCGACCAGCGGAACTGGTTGGGGTCGTGGCGATAGGTGCTGGTCGAGGAGAAGGAGGCAATGGTGGCCGTGCAGCTGGCCCCGGTGGCCCGGAGGTTGTCGGCCGTGGTGGTCAGGCTCTGCACGAAGGTCACCTCGATGGTGGTGGCCAGGCGGCTGGAGCCCTTGGCCGCGGCGAGGGCCGCCGCAGCGGCGTCGCTGGCCGCAGCGGCATTGTCCCCCTGCGTGCATGTGTGTGTGTGTGTGTGCGTGTAGATGTAGGTGTGAGGTTAGATGTGTCACCGGGGAGCGAAGCGATGTGGCGCCGGAGGGTGTGGGCAGGGAGGGGGAGAGACGAACAAACGAGATGGTTGAGGACGATGCGGAGGAAACCGCGGTGCTCATCTTGCGGATGCGTATGGAATGGCTGTGCGTGTGTGCGTGTGCGTGGGGGG